AGCTTTGTAGTTTGATCATGTCCATTTATTTATTTTGTTGTTGCTGTGATTGCCTTGGGACTTCTTCATAAACCTCTTTGCCCAGGCCATGTCTAGGAGAGTGTTTCCAACTTTTTCCTCTAGAGTTCTAATAGTTTCATACCTTAGTTTAAGTCTGTTATCCAGCGTGAGTTGGTTTTGTGAGAGGTGAAAGGTGTGGTCCTGTTTTAGCCTTCTACAGGTGGCTATCCAGTTTTCCCAGCACATTTATTGAAAAGGGATTCTTTACCCACATATATTTTTGTCTGCTTTGTCAAAGATTAGATGGCTATATGAGGATGGTTTTATATCAGGATTCTCACATCTGTTCCACTGGTCAGTATTCCTATTTTTTTGTCAATACCATATTGATTTAATTACTACAGCTTTGTAGTATAGTTTGATATCTGGCATATTAATGCCTCCCATTTTGTTTTTGTTGCCTAGAATTGCTCTTGATATTCGGGGTCTTCTTTGGTTCCATACGAAGCGTAAAATTATTTTTTCTATATCTGTGAAGAATGCTGATGGGATTTTAATAGGTATTGCATTGAATCTGTAGATCAGTTTGGGTAGTATAGACATTTTGATGATATTGAGTATGCCAATCCACGAGCATGGAATGGATTTCCATCTGTTTACATCTTCTGCTATTTCCTTCCTCAGTGTTTCATAGTTCTCCCTGTAGAGGTCTTTTACCTCCTTGGTTAAGTATATTCCTAGGAACTTTAATTTCTTTGTTGCTATGATCAAACACATTTTAAAAGAGCAAAAGGAATTTTTCTTACTGATAAAACATCCACAAATTCATGAATCTTTATTTAACAGCAAAGCTTTGAAGTATATTGAGGCGTTATAATCAGGAGAAACATGACATCAATATTCATAATGGACCTTAATGCCTATATTTTAGAAATTGACAGATAAAGCATACAATAAAAAGAAAATGGAGAATTTTAGTAACTCGGCAAAATGTGTGTGTGTGCATAATGTTATACAAAACTTTAAATACAAGAGCAGTGGTCACAAAAATTGACTATTAGGTCACAGTGGAAATATTAGCCATTTCCAAAAGGTAGAGCTCGCTTGTGTATTTTTAAAAATTTCTTCTGCCTAAGGTTTGTAGAACTTTTTGAATCTCTGGGCTGCTGAGTTTCCTTAGTTCTAGAAAGAAATTAAGCTGTTACTTCAAATATTACCTTTTTTTTCTATCCTCTAGGGCTAAATATTTTCAGATCTTTTTACTGTCTTCCGTGTCTCTTAATCTCTTATGTTTTTTCTATCTTCTCTTTAATGGGTTAATAGATAATGTCTTCTGATCTATCTTCATGTTTGAATAGTTTCTTCTTTGGGTCCAATCTGCTGCTATATTTGTCCATTGAGTTTTTGATGATTTTTGTGTTTTCTACAAGAAATAGTTGCTCTTTATTCATACTTGCTATTATTTTTAAATAGATTCTTATACTCTGCAGATATTTTCAAGCTTATTACATCTTATTTATTTATCTATTTTTAAGACAGAGTTTAGCTCTGTTGCCCTGGATAGAGTGCATTGGCCTCTTCATAGCTCACTGCAACCTCAAACTCCTGGGCTCAAGTGATTCTCCTGTCTTAGCCTCCCAAGTAGCTGAGAGTATAGGCACGTGCCACCATAGCTGGCTAACTTTTTCTGTACATCTTTTTAAAACAGATGAACATAATTGTTTTAAAATATTTATTCAGTAATCAGGTAGCTGAAGTCTATGGGGGGATGTTTCTGTTGGTTATTCATGTGGTTTTCTTTCTATATGTGCTTAGTTAATGTGGCTGCTTCCTAGTCATTGTCATTGAGAAAATTATCTGTACATTCCCCAAAGCCTAGGATGGATTTGCCCTCCTCTTGAAAGGCTTTCATTTGCCTTCTGTAGGATCCTATAAACATTGCATTAGGGATACTGCATGCTTGAAGATCTTTGATCAAGATACACATCTAGGGGTGTAACTCTTACCTAGGGTTGGCTTCGATAATTTCTCAAGTGTGGTTTCCCCTACCTTCTTTTATCTTATTCTGACCTCTCTGTAGTTTGTTCTTATCCTGAGACTATCCTTTGGTTTATAGTTTGTTTTTATTCTGAGATTACCTTTTGGAAGTTGGCTGGGTCTCATCTTGGGGCCATTCTTGTCAAAGACTCTCCACCTTGGACTGGCCTTGGGCTTTGAATGCTGCTTCTTTCCCCTCATTTTTGAAACAAAGCTAGGAGCAATCCATATGTTTGATACATTCAGGGAGTGGATCATGGCCATTCTGCCGTGTTTCCCCGAAAATAAGACCTACCAATAAAATAAGCCCTAGCAGGATTTTTAAGCATTTGTGCAATATAAGCCCTACACCAAAAATAAGACCTAGTGATGGGTGTGGTTACGCAGCGGATCTGCACAAGCCATGCATTTCATCGAGGAGCAGTAAAGAAGACGAGCAGCCCTTCCCATCTGCCCCATCGTGACAGCTACTATCCCAGAGGTGACCGGAAAGGTGCAGGCAGCCCCACCAACAAGGTCGGCTCCCCCTGTCAGGTCCTGGCCATTCTGTGAATGCTGCAAACTGAGGCTTTGAGGGGAAAATAATACATCCCCTGAAAATAAGCCCTAGGGTGTCTTCTTGAGGAAAAATAAATATAAGACCCTGTCTTATTTTCAGGGAAACACAGTAGATGTTAGTGAAGAGCAACAGCTTTCACTCCAAAAGGAGCTACCCTGAAATCCAGAAGTAGAAAACAGCTTTTCTGTGTGCAAATGAAAAATTTAAGTGATCTTATAGAAAGGTATTTTAATTGGTTAACAGATAGTTCATTTTTATACTTTTTCATGCTTGTTATACAAGTTTTATATTTGTGCCTTTACAGCTCCAAATAGCTTCAAGGCAGATTAAGATTTGATGAAGAGAATTAATATGGGCATAGAAAAGTAAGTGAAAAGGAGAGTAAGTGGATAAGAAGTTTTCAGAAGAAACATTGAAAAAAACTTAAATGAAGACTACATAATTGAGGAATTGAACTTATTTTAATAGATCTTTAACCATTTGATTCCTTAAATTAAAAAGCAATAAATAATTTATTTTTTAATCCAGAATGCAAGGTTTTTGTTTTTGTTTTTAGGTGATTTGCTTTGTTTTTTTAGGCAATTAGCAGTGCCACATTTCTAATTACAGAGAGTAGCTTGGTGTTCAGTTGGCACATATTTATTGAGCTCCTAAAATGAGCCATAATAAATTTATATTTGATCCTGGAGAACGTCCTAAAGTCATACAAAAGTCAGGTAAATTACTAACCTATTTTGTCTGTCTTCCACTCACGAATAAGTTAAGACTATACCAAACAGGACCAATTAGCTAAGAGATTCAGATTTCTTCATGTGGAAGTTGAATAGTAAGGTACTTATATCCTATAGAACCATTAAGAATTACACCTGAATCTTTTTTAGGTAACAAAGTCTAGTTTATTGATGATAAGGTAAACTATGAAGAGTTGAAGGTTCTTAAAATGCAGTAAGTTAAAGTTAAAAATGGGCATAAACAGGAAAGAATAGGGGGTTTGGAGACCTTAGGATATATGTTAGTAGAAGTTGAGGACCATAAAGTAAAATCACACTTTACTGCCTTCAGCATCAGTCTGAGTAAGTTCACGCATTAAAGATTTTTTATTGGCTTTTATTTTTTGCTTGTGTGTTAAGATATGAAAGTAACTTCACGTTAAAGGAATAAGGTTTCAGGCTTGTGAAATTTCTTTCACTCTTGTTTCTACTTTTTTTCTTGTTGGCATTGTTTCTGCTGTCCCCCATTCTTGTATTTTGATAGGTACAAGTCCTAACCAGTTGTGTTTCCTGTTCTTGGAATCTCTTTATACCCAGTTTTAAATATTGCTGTATTTAATGTGCTCCATCTTCCATTTATCATTAACAGTATTTATTAGTAGTTATAATAATTGATTTTTAGAATGCTTATGTGCAGGACACAGTTTTAATCACTTTAGAAGTGTATTATCTATTTTAACTCTCACTGAAACACTCAAATAAAATACTGAAATTTCCAGTTTACAGGTGAGAAGATAGAGGCACGAAGGTCACATAACTTAGCCAAAACGTCTATTAGATAGTGAAGGGTGAGATAGAATTCACAGCTAGGTATTCTGACTCCACAGCTCTTCTCCAGAACACAAGTAGCCTTGGCATTAGCAGTAAGAATGAAAATGATATCATAATGCTGAGAAGGAAAAGATCAAAGACATACAACAATGAAATTTGCTAATGTTTATTAAGGGATAACTATGTTCCAGGAATAATACTAATTGCTTTATGAGTGTTATTTTGTCTTTACACCAACCTTTAAGATTGTTTTCATTTAACTTTGAGAATACTGAGGCATAGTTTCATTAACTTGCCTACAGCCACATGTTAGTAAGTGTTGAAACTAAATTCAAACTCCTGAGCCAGAGTATATATTGTTATTTATTTGCCCATCTCTCTCCCTCTTGCACCGGGAATGTGTAATTTCATTAATCTTCCGGCACATAGTAGGTTTTCATTAAATATTTGTTTATTATAATATGTAAAACCTATATTTAGATGAGAGACCTTATACTCTTCACCTCTTACACAGCACCTTAGAAGCTAATTCTTCCCATGAAACATGTTGGATACTCTTGGGGATACCAAGATTGGTTTGTTGTCGTTGTTTTGTTTTAAACCTTTGGTGTTGAGTTTTAGCACTAAAGGTGGTCCCTGTTAAGTTTTAGCACTAAAGGTGGTCTCTCCAAAAAATAAGTATTTTTAGAACTATTTTAACATTTACCTTTTGTTAAATAAAAAAATATTTTTAAGCAATTAAAACATTCAGAAAATAACAAATAACCACATATATACCATCTGGAATTAGATAATTGTTATTCATGCAGTTTTCCCTACTAATTTATTTAATACTAACCTCTGTGTTTGTTTTATGCTTAAAGCCATATCCAGAAGACCCAGCAGTTTATAAACCACTCTCTCAAGAAGAACTGCAAAGGATAAAGAATGAGAAAAAACAGAAACAAAATGAGAGAAAACAGAAAATATCAGAAAATCGCAAGCATTTGGCTAGTGTACGTGTTGTACAAAAAAACCTCGTCTTTGTTGTAGGTCTGTCTCAGCGCTTAGCAGACCCAGAGGTAAGTCGTCTTCTCTTTTCTTTGTCATCTTGATAGTTTTTCTGTTTACTTACCTTATTTGAAAATAAACAGTTGACTCTGCTCAACTGTCAGATTCCTCTGAAAATGTTAAATCTTAGGAGAAAATAAGAAATGACTTCTTAATAATTGCTAAAAACCAATGACCAGTTGTGATCTTAGGCAAGTGTCTTAATCGTTCTTAGCCTCAGTTTCTTAAGTTGTAAAATTAAAGAGTTGAACTAGATTTCTAAAGACCCCTTTAGTGCCAAAAGTCTGTGAAAATTGGGTAATGATTCTTTTGCTGTTAGGACTATCATGTGACATGAATATTCTTTCTTTCCTCTTTTCTGTAGCTGTATAACGATCAACAATGGAGATGCAGTTACTTGAACCAACTAGAGATCTTAGTAACTTGCATTGCTTAATTTATCCTTCCAAAGTAGTTATTCTTGGTTTTTCAGAACTGTTGTTGTGCTGGATAATTATTCTTAACTTATTGTAAGACAGTTTGGAGGAAAGGGGGAGAATTTGATAAAGTGAAATTAAGGACAGTTCTTTGTCGTTCTTTTGGAGGCAGGGGAGATCTTAACCTTTTTGTTTACTACCTCTTTTTTTCTACTTCCACCACCAGCCTTATTAGAGTAATGTCAAACTCATATTTTCCTTGAGACCCTTGGATACGCATCTACTAATTTTTAGTTTCTGGTATACCATGAGGTGCTGACTAGATTTTGGGGAAGGCAAATGGAAGAAGCTTTTAGACAGCAAGAGTGTTTTCTTAAGTAGGAGAGAGCTAGATTTTAGGGATCTTCTAAAAGTACTTCTTGAAAAGGGATTAAGTAAGATTCATTATGGTTCCAATCAGGGGGAGGGTTTTGTAGTGAATGTGCTTGAGGAGGTAGGAACCTTTCTTCATGCTAAGGGCCCAGGAGTAGGAACTTTAAGGAGTATGATATCTGTTTTTATAAAACTTAATTTAGAGAGAATAATAAATACTTATTTACAAAGAATTTACTTCAAAAATCAATAGAAGTGAGTCAGGGAAATGTTACTAAGAAGGATCTATCATGAACAATAAACCAGAAGGCAACTCACAAATTATTAGGACCTAGGTCCAGGAATGCTGTCAATGGGGGAATTGTGTGATACTCAGGAGACCAAATTCTTTCCAGAGCCAAAGGGAATGGTCTAAAGTTTATACAGTAAAATACTTCCTCAATAAGAAATGTTAAGAAGAGAGCTCATTTTAGGCCTGTGACTCAACTTCAGCAACCAGTTCTCCCTTCATTTTAGCTGTTGGTTACTCCCCAGGCAGCCAGAATCCCACCTCACCCTTGACCATTTCCTTGAACACCACCTCAACTTTGCACTAACCCTTTTATCTCCCTCTTTCAACTGCCTTTTTTTTTTTTAACCAAGAGGGCACTTCTGCCTCTATTTACTCCTACTAATCCTGTTGTTTAGAATCTACTTTTGCCTTATTGAAACTGAATTTTTATCTTGATATGAGACCTCTTGGATATGGATGTACTTGTTTTTAGTAATACATCTTTGATTTGGTCAGCTGTAGCACTGGAGGTTTATGAAGCAGCACTCAAAAGCTGGATGTAATTAAGCCATAGATTGAATCTGATTTTGGATTATGGGTTTCCTACCTCTTTTTTTGTGTCTGTGATTTATAAGTTTTTATTTACTTATAGAGATCTCTTTTTTCCATTTCAAATAACTCCAGTAAGATTAATTTGAAGACCGATTATACAGAAGGAAATTAATCTAGGTGGTGATTAGTGAGAGAGCATTTTATCTTAAGTCTATTTAAAAAATTACTAGTTTCATACTTTTGAAATCATTGTTGCTTGGTGGAGGACAATGAATTTTTTTCAACATTGGTTACTTTCATTTATTTCTCTTGAAAGCCTAGGAAGACCAGAGACAAGTGTTTTATTTTTTATTAAATACTACCACTTTAAAATATCTTTTAAAATTCATTTAATTTGTCTATATAACCTTTTCAGTTTTTGGAAAACTTAAAGTTGACTTCACCGAAAACTCAAAAGAATTTTCAAATTGTTAGTGTTACTTTCAAAGCAAAGAAGATCCATATAGTTTACTTAGCTTTTGGATGATGAACAATTTGATATTTGACTAAATTCCGATTAACAAAATGTGGGAGAGTTTAAGAATAATTAAGGCTTAGTTTGAAAATAATTTTTGTACATCAGAAAGCTTCATGCCAAGATTGTCAAATATATTCATTTATTGGTTAATAGAAAAACTATCTTAGAAGACATGGCAATTAGAGGCAGTGATTAGATTATAGACAGTGATGATCTTCAGATTCTAAGTCCTAAAATTGTAGATTTATAGTGACCTAATTCATTTATTCTGAAAATTAATTCTTGAATACTTAACATGTGCTAGGCATTTTCATGTTGGAAATAAAGTAGTTAGCAAGCCAGACACAGTCTTTACCCTTAACAGGCTTACAGACTAGTGGGGAAGACAATTTCAGTGCTTACATGTGTGTTAAGCATTATAAAAAGGGAAGTACACAGCTCTTTGGGAACATATAACAGTTGAGTACTTAATGTGGAGAGTCACAAAGCCTCTCTAAGGAAGGATAATTAAGGTAGGCTTGAAGAATTAATAGGTGTTAGCTAGGCAGCATATATGAACAGTAGTTTCCCAGTGTGGTAGCCTGAGAGAACAGCTTGTTTGAGAAACGAAAAGACTTAAGAGACACAACAGTTCATTTTACAAATAAGAAACTGAGGCAAAGAGAATTTGTGTGACTTGCCTATGGTCTTACAGCTCCTGTTCCACTGTATACTGATGATTGGGCCAGTTGTTCACCCACCCATTCATTTATACTCTTCTATCCATCTGATTACCAAGTTTTTGTTTTTCTCTGTAGTGTCCATGAATACTTGACTGTGTTCCCAAAGAATATATAGCAAGACATTTTAGTCATTAGGCATACCATTGGATATTTATAATTCTGTCATATGGCCTTTTATAGTCTGTTAGTACTAAAACTGGCCCACTGTGAGGTAAATACATGACAGCAAGTATTTAGATAATGTGCTGATGTACAGGGTACTCTGTCTACTTCCCTGACCCTTTACTTTATTCACTAGAATACTATTTTGCTGGTTATTTAGGCAGAATCTGAAATGTTCAAGTTAATATGGAGAGTTTAAATTCTTTGAATTTCCCCTGCTTGGGCAGCCTGTTTCTTAACAGCCACTAGTCATTTGCTAATACTTTGAGGCCCACTAGTGTTATATATTCATGTAATTCTTTTTGTTCAATACTAAGACAGTTCAGTTTTTCAGTAAACAGTTACTGAGTACCTACAGTAAGGCACCACATGACACTGAGCATAAACTGGATAAGCAGGGTAGTACCTGCTTATTTACAAAAGTAACAATACACAGGAGAAGTACTGTAGGCTATGGAGGCACAAAGGATAGCACCTGACCTTGGGAGGGAGGTAACTACCCCTCTGCTATCTTTGGGGTAAAGTGCTTCTGGTACAGGAACTGTACAAATGCTTCTGGATGAAAAAGACCTCAATCTACAAGTGATTTGTTTGACTGGAAGATTAGAGTGCAATGGTGAGAGATGAGGTTATCAAGGTAAGTGGTGATGAATCATGAAGGGCTTTCTAACCATGCTAAGGAGTTTGCTCTTTATCCTAAAGGCAGAGGAAAGCTGTTGAATATTCTTATGAACAGTGACATAGCTAGGTTTGTGCTTTGAAAATATCTTTCTAGCTGCAGTGTGAACGTGTCAGTGTAATTATATACCAGTCTCATGTTATTGTGAAGATGTTATACCCAAATGTTGGCAAGGGACTGTTTCCATAAACCAGTGATATTCACACTTACCAGATTCAGTGCCCACTTTTTAAAAACTAGTATTTTATAATATCCCTTGACTTTCTTGAAATGACTTCTTGATAATATAATTTGTCTACACACATAATTTGAAAAAAATATATAACGGAGAAATAAAAGGAAAGTAAATATGGAAAGACTACTTCTACATGTAAATTCTTGGGCACTGCTGCTTGAGAACCTTGCTATTCCAAGTATGATTTCTGGGCCAGTAGCATTAGTGATAGGTTATTATGCCCACTATCAGGCACTGCCTCAGACCTACTGGATCTGAATCTGCATTTTAACTAGACTTATGTGTATTCAAGTTCTTGAAATATTATTTTACACCACATAATAAAGTAGTAAGATTCCAGCACTATTTATAGAATCACTGAGAGTGACAACTACAAATGCAGATTGTTATAGGTGTATATATTGGCAGCTCAGCTTCCATGAAATGCCAATGATGTGATTTTTCTGAAAAAATCTTAGTAAAATTTCAACCAAAGCATGTGTAGACTTCCTTTGATTATATATTATCTACTTTTCTATACATTTAATGTATGTCAAAACTAGGAAAATACTTTGTGTTTATATGTAATATGGATTTGTTTCTAGGTTCACTTAATTATAAACAGGCTTCCTCAGCTTCATGAACATCTTGCAGGACATTGAAAAGTTATGCAGGACTGTTCTTTATTGTGCAGGGCTAACCATGAGCCTTGTAAGATATCCCTGGGTCCTATCCACTGAACACTAGTAGTGTATCCCAGTTGCTTTTACAGTTTCCCCCAACACAGGCTTCCACAAATTTCCAAAATGCCCCCTGAGTGTTTCCCTCATTTGAGAACCACTGTCATAAAGTCACATATATGAGATGCTGATACGGGATAACCTGTGACCAGCCTGAACCCCTTGGAGCAGGTATTTGAGCTGTGAGGCCAGTTGCTGAGTTGGTTTACATCCAGCTGTAATATTGGATGCAGTTCCAAACTCTACTTGCCAGGAAGCATTTTCAAACTATACTCTTCCCTATCCTTCAACCCAGAAACTTTGTTTGGAATAACCCGAGGGTCCTTGCACTAGCCATTATTACTATCATATCCTTCAGGGGATTTGAATGGAAAAAAGATTAAAGACCAGTGTAATCAGCTCATCTTCTAGTACATTAAAATTGGCTGTAGCAAACATCACAACCCTGTACTTATAAGCACCTACAATAAAATATGGTAAGATTAATGACTTTACATGGATTAAGTTGAAGACTAAGAATTAATGGTACACCAACCATAGACTATTTCATGAAGCTTTGATTCTATGCAGAACATTGTAGCTAGATTATAAGTGTGTAAGAATATTATCAAACATTGAGAGAGAGGTTGTTATTTGGAGAAATTTTAGGAATGGTTGGTCTAAAGGTAAATTCTAGGAAAACCACAAATTAATTTTGAAGTAATTACAAATCATGGGAGAGGGTTTTCTGGTCTCTTCTCTTCTCTTCTCTTCTCTTCTCTTCTCTTCTCTTCTCTTCTCTTCTCTTCTCTTCTCTTCTCTTCTCTTCTCTTCTCTTCTCTTTTCTCTCTCTTCCTTCTCAGGCAGGTTTTCTGGTTTTGTTTTTTAATTTTTTGTAGAGATGGCATCTTGCTGTGTTGCCCAGGCTGGTCGCAAACTCCTGGCCTTAAACTATCCTCCTACTTCAGCCTCTCAAATTTCTGGGATTATAGGCATGAGTCACTACACCCATAGGAGAGGTTTTTGTATCAAGTTACATACTGGTCGAATTAGCCAAGGTTAAGTTTGTAAAAGAAGCTAAAAGAATTCACATAGTGATCACAAAGTGAAAGGGGTGAGATAAGTATGAGGGAGAAATAACCACCAAGAAGTAACCAAGTAATAAAAAAAGAAGTGTACAAATTTGTTTCGCAAATGTCATTTAGCAGGAAAAGAGGGAACAATAACCCACAGGGCAGTTCAGAAATGCTGAAATTGATAATAGGAAACTATATACACAATGATAAATCATAAAGCATAGGTCGAGGGGGCACTCTGTTTTATTTTGAATTTGTAGCTTATTATCAGTATTTTAATGTATATCAAATATTATATGCAATAGCTTTATGAGTAAGGACTAGTCTACTTACATCTGTTCTTTCAGTTCTATCCCTGCTGTAATATGTAATTTTGGTCATAGTTTTGAGATTTACTTTCTTACAAGGATCATTTATTAATAATAGTGTAGTTAAGATCTTTGATCTATTTTATGTTTAAAAATACTGTGAAGGTAAGATCTCCTCATATTATTGGTATGATATTAGAACATAGTAGGCAATAGCAAACTTAATGAATCTCAGTTTCTATTCAGTGGGTCAAAAAAGAATAGCTGTTAAACTCTTGATGTCTTGTAAGTTTAGCTATACAAATTGCAGTTAGGAAGTAGTCACATTTGTTAGAAAACTTTAAACATTAATATTTTCACTGAAGAGGGATGGTGAATGTTCCCATTATAAGGATAAAGTTGATGAAAATGGGGACAGTTTATACCTTATTTCTTCTTCTTTTATAGGTTTTAAAACGACCAGAATATTTTGGGAAGTTTGGTAAAATACATAAAGTTGTCATCAATAATAGCACATCATATGCAGGCTCACAGGTAACTAATTATAGGGATTTTTGCCTTTCCTCCCTATGGTCTGGGCTTGACCTGGGCTGTTCAGAAGGAAAATTTGCTTTCTGTGATTAGAAAGCTTGAGGTACATGGACTTAAACAGTGTAGTGACCTCTGTTGGTGGGGTGGGGGAATTTTTGGTGCTCATTTGACCCTTCTAAGACTTAATAGTAAGTTGACAGTAGTAAGGGGGAAATAGTAAAACAAAGATTTAGTGATGGAGTGAAGGGGAGGGGTAGTTGAGTCTGTTATCAGGCAATCTGATAGATAGGGATTTCTAATTCATAGTATTTTTAGATATTAAAGACTTAATGGAACATCTTTGTTATGCTGGTATTAGCAGATAGAATACTGTTTGTTATAGTATTTATTTTTGACAAAACACAATAGGACACAGTATCTTTAAATCTGATTTTTAAAAATCTGTAAATTTCAAATTTTTTAACCTTGACGAGCCTGTCAAATGACTTTTTAAAAAAATAAATACCAAGCAAAAGATAATATTTTATTCATATATGATAGTCTACTTTAAATCAGATAAAACCCATTAAGTGTGATTGCTTTTACATGAGCTAGTATAGTATTTAATCAAAACTGCTACCACTTCTAATTATTGTCATTACTATTAATAATAGTAGTAGTGAAGGTCTTTAGAATTTCCTAGATTGTAAGACAGTTTTTTTTAAGTGTTGTTTAATTTGAAACTACTAACAGTGGAATGGGATGTTTTCACTTTAGGGTCCAAGTGCCAGTGCTTATGTAACCTATATCCGGTCAGAAGATGCTCTCAGAGCCATACAATGTGTCAACAATGTGGTAGTAGATGGCAGAACACTTAAGGTAATACAGTCCTCTTGTTATTTTTTTCTTTTAAAAGGGAAGGGATAAGATGTATAAGTTGAGGAGAATCTACCATTTATATATTAAATTTTAAGACTGTTAATTTTAAGATTGTGTCTTAGGTATTCTTACCAACCTATGATAACTAATTTGTTTACTGCTGACTTATATAGGGTTCTGTTTTGCTAGATAGGAATAAACACATTCATTATTAGGGGATAATCTTTACAAACCTCCCATTTTTACATATAATTTTGTGAAAATGAAACCATTATTCTTCTCATCAGAAATGGTAATGGTTCTAATTTTTTGTCCTTAAATATTTGGTCATTGATTTAGGTTTTAGCAAAAGGTCCCAACAATGCTTCATGTAAATAGAAGGATGGCATAATTAGAAAAAGGATTTGCCTTCTTGTGTGCCTAACCACTCATAACATGGAACAGATTTTTGTCTATCTCCTCTCTTGATATATAGGGAAGAAGATTTGGGTATTCAAGTTCTGGAAACCATAGATTGAGATGTTTTCTTTAGTTCTTCCAAATGAGCATCATCTGTAATAAATCCTACCAGTGATGGTACATTTCTGTAGCATTCGCAGCCATACTTCTTGTTTTGTCTCGTCTGTGCCTGGTTTTAGGTGAAGTGAAAACACTAAATATGGAAATTTTCATTGTGGTGTCAGTTCATATTTTGAGTCTTCTTTTCCCTTACCCCTTTTCTTCCTGCAGGCATCTCTAGGTACAACAAAATACTGCAGTTACTTCTTAAAGAATATGCAGTGTCCCAAACCCGACTGCATGTATCTACATGAATTGGGGGATGAGGCTGCAAGCTTCACAAAAGAAGAAATGCAGGTAGTAAAGTCATGTGAATTATCAACTTTGTAGAAAAGGGAGTACTTTTTCTTTATAAGTTATAATTATAAAAGCAAAAACTAAGGGGTTGATTTTTTTGAAAAAACAAGTATTAGTTTAAAGTAGCATTTTCTAAACAAAATGTTTCAAAAAATGTCAGTTCTGCAGGATATTGTTACAATAAAAATGGGTCTATGGTCAACTAAGTTTGAAAATGAAGATAAACAGGTTTCTTTTCTGTAGGACTTCTCAAAGTCTTTAATATGATAATACATGTGTAAGAGGGGGGTGTACAACCAGAACTTAATTGACCAAGGAAAGCACTTTGGTAAATGCTACTTTAAGGGGAATGTCAACAAAATGAAAGCTAAGTGGGATTCTGTACTTAAATTGGTTGTTTTGTTGGCCAATCTCTACTCTTTACAGAGCATATCAGAAAGTAATATTCTATCAAATGATACTAATAAGCTAACATTATTTTTATTACAGTGATTCTCCCAGTGAAAGTGTCCCCTGAATCATTATCCTGTAAAGGATGAATTGAAGGTTTAATATCCTATGTTCTTTTTTACATATCCTCTTCTCCTGTCTCCTTTCAATTTGTAGTATAAACATACCTTTACAAGTAAAAATATTGACCATACGGCATATTAAATGAGGATTATACCAAAGCACAATGCTGCACTTCCCTATTGTAGATGAGGACTTCAGATTGTTGCTGTGGACTTTTCAGGAATACTTCTCATGTAGAAGGTGGGGGGCATTCATTGCTACCTTTCATTCTCCAGGTCAAACTAGAGACAGTCTGATGGAGACGCCTTTAAGAGAATATTGTTAAATAAAATGAAGTATTACCTTTTTTGACTTGGAGCTAGTACAGATTAAATCCCATTATGATAAATTCACTGGAGTTTCTTGATAGTATGGTCTCTATGATTCAAAAACAATGTTAAAATAAGGTCTGTCTGATATTTAACAAGGATTTACTGATTTCTTCAGTGTATGCTTTTTTGTTTTGTTTTTTGAATGAAATTTAAGATGGAACCATTTCAAACTGAATTTTAGCTAGTGGTGGAGGTATACTTTACTGACATGTTCAGTTACAATGAAAATTTCTATCAAAGAATATCCAAGGCCCAATTGATCTCATTTAAAGGTTTAGTGGCCTGGGTGTGGTGGCTCACACCTATAATCCCAGCACTTTGGGAGGCCTGTGGTGGGGGCACATTGCTTGAAGCCAAGAGTTCAAGACCAGCCTGGGCAGTAGAGCAAGACCCCATCTCTACAAAAAAAATCTTAAAAATAGCTGGGTGTGGTAGCATGGGCCTATAGTCCTAGCTACTCAGGAAGCAGAGAGGCAGGAGGATCCCTTGAGCCTAGGAGTTCAAGGCTGCAGTGAGCTATGATCACACTCCTGCACTCCATCCTGGGTGACAGAGTAAGACCTTGTCTCAAGTCTTATTGAACAATAAAAGAAAATGTACGGACAGTCCTTTGGAACTCATTTGTAATGGGATTTAACCTGTCTTTATGAACTGCCCCTGTAGAGTCATTTTAATATCATCTTGAACTCTTTGTGGCTAATGAAAGCCATAATAACTCTTGAAATATTGATTGCAGAAAGAATTTTCAAGGCTTTTCATGTTTTAAAGATGTAAAATCCACATCTAAATGTATTTTTAAAAATAATTTAAAATTTATTTCATAGTATTGTCCTGAATTCATCCTGTTCTTCACCTGAGTTCAAATTACTTTGAAAAGGGATTTCTCTGTTAAAAACACTTCCTCGGTGTAGAAAGGAAATTTGAATAAGTTATATCATGGCAAAAATCAGAAAATCTTCCTTGTTACTTCTTAGTTCAGAATTTCGTACCATAGGAAATATTTATAGGTCCAACGGAAATAGGCAAATAGCCTCTAAGAACAGGGAACAATGCATTGTGCAGTACATGTGATACAGTTGTACTCAATTAAATGACATTGCCCTCACTTGTTATTGTTTTGCTTTTGTTTTGATCTGTTCCGTTTTGATTTTGCTGTAATATGTATTTAGACCATAATTTAAAAATAATTAACATCCCTGAAGGTAAGTAAAGATACTTTTCCAGTCATGATGTGCATTCAAATAGTAAAAAGTTACTCAAAGTAATTAATTTTATTATCATTTATTTTTGTGTATGATTAGCTTCCACAGTCTTTGCCTAATCTCTCCCATAACATTTGTAATGTTGCCTTCTGGTACAGCTACCCAACTATAGTAAATGCAGCATTCTCTTGTTGTATGTAGCAGTGGTCCCCAACATTTTTGGCACCCAGGATGAGTTTCATAGAAGACAATTTTTCCACAAAAGGTTGGGGGTGAAACTCAGGTGGTGATTCAAGCCATGGGTAGCAGCTGTAAATATAGATGAAGCTTCACTGGATCCTGCCTTGCCTAGCTACCTGCCACTCACCCTCGATTGCTTCTTTGTTGCTAGTCTCATGTCTAAATTTAAAGCATATAGGATGGGAGTTGGCAAACTTTTTCTTAAAAGGGACAGTTAGTAAATATTTTAGAGTTTATTAGTCTCTGTCACAACTGCTTCACTCTGCCTCTGTTGTAGTACTATCCCTCTGCCATTGTAACAGAATAGCAGCCATAGATAGTATGTAAATGAGTGGACATGGCTGTGTTCCAATAAAACTTTATTTATGAAAACAGGCGACTGGCTACAAATTGTTGACCCTTGGTCTAAAGTTTAAAATACATTTTTATTTTACTCTTGGTAGCAATGGAGGAAAGGAGAGAGTAAAAACAAATTAATGAAATTTTTGCTTAGTGTCAATATAGTAAAACTATTCATCTGTGACAATCTCTGAATTAAAAAGGAGATTAATTGATCAATTGATTGTTGTCGATTTTCAAAAAACTCAGTAATGACCTGTCATAAGACTTAATTCTTATACGAAAGATTTGAAAGTAGATTTAAATTGTACCTGTATAGCTTTTGAACTAGTGAAAATATTCTCTCCTTAATATGCTTTTCTATATAATAAAGAGGTTAATTTATGGAATATATATCATGTGATTTTATTGGAATTTTCATTGGTCTGGAAGTTTTGTGACGTCATCCTCACAGGTTTCTCTGACTCCACGAAAATACCCTGTATTTTCAATTTAGCATATATTTAATAATTCAGAAGGTAATTCAGTATTTTATACTAGCCATTTTGTGAATCCCACTGCAGTTTTAATTTCTTCTTTATTAGGCGGGTAAACACCAAGAATATGAACAGAAGCTACTTCAAGAATTATATAAATTAAATCCCAATTTTCTTCAGCTGTCTACGGGTTCAGTTGATAAGAATAAGAACAAAGTGACACCACTGCAGAGGTATGATACGTAAGTATTGATATTCACATACTCAGACATCTTACCTTCACATCTGTTAGTCTTTTCATTCTGTCTTTTTCAGGTAAAAGCCTGTTGACAAGGTCTGTCATTTATGCAAAATTGTTTAGATATATGGGAAATGTTGAGTGACAATTTCTGGGTTTGAATGTTTGCTGCCTGCTGCTCCCTGATAATACCTCAGACTAGCCTCTTGATGGCTTCACCTTTTGCAGCGATTTGCAGACTCCCTTGAGCCCAGGGAACACCCTCCTTCTTAAAAAGGAAATTAAAGGATGTTGGGTATAAAAGGCTCTTGTCTCCTAATTTAGGTTTTTTTTTCCCCCTGATATAACCAGGGGCGGAGGGTACTGTAAAAGAGAGAGTGCAGTTATCTCAAGGAAGCATTTTATGTTGGGGACACAAATATTGAAGGATATCTAGTCCCAAGATTACTAAAGTTATATTCTGTGAGTGAGGAGAGTATTCCATATTCAGAATCTTACTTAGGAGACCTGTCACCTCCTATCTTCCACCCCCAACATAGTTTTAGGTAGAGTATATTGCGTCAGTGCTTAAACAAATTTATAGTCTTTAGTACTGAGAGTCTCATTCTGATAAGGTGATCTTCATATCTTGGATTGTATTTGATTATGGCCTGTCAGAAAATTACGTAATTAAGAAATGTAATAATTTTAGGATTTTACTCTACTCTGAACATTCCATGAGTTTGATTTATTAGGAACTTTGTTCTATTTTTTTATTGATAAGTTTAACTTATATCAAATGAATTTTAAAAGTAAATAGCTATAATTAATTTGGATATGTTAACTGTCTTCTTTTTTAATTTTAAAGTTAAATTTTTCTAAGTGATGTTTTAATGTCTGGGTGTTAAATATTATAGCCCAATGTCTATTTAGTAATAAAATAATGTAACAACCATCTTTCAGATGTAGCTAATAATAACTACATGGATTTTTGTCTGAGTCCATTTCTTCAAAAAAATATTCTTATGTATCAATTTTTGAAGTCCTTGTTTATTCCCTTTGATAATAAATATTATTTAATATTAAAGGCTATTTAAATACTTATTTATACACATATACATACATACATATGTATGTATATGTGTATATAAATAGGCCACAAAGCAAAACATAAAGTTATTGTATAGTAAACTATGTGAAATTTGTTTATATCAAAGCTAAGAATAAAAGCTCAGTCTAAACAGAGATCTTTCTGGTTTGACAAGCTTTGATCTTTGCCTTTGATCTTTTGTACCCATCCTTTTCTAGCCCTGTATATTTATTTTGTGATGAACCATATGCTATTACTTATCTCATTGGTTGCCATCTCTTTAGTGCTTGGTATAAGAATGAGGTTATTGTAGTAAACATTTATTTCACATGCTTTTAACATTTATACACATCATTGTTCTCATTTAAAATGTTGTCATTCTAATTTAAGTCACATTCTGGATTTATAGCCCCTAGTGGTTTCAGAGCAAAATCTAAAATTTAGATGATCTCTTTGAGATAACATTTGTTATTTTCTGAATATAAAAGTAACATGTTTTCATTGAAGGAAATGTGAAAAATTTATGAAAGTATATAGAAGAAAATAAATATTGTATGAGATCTAAATACCCAGAGCTTTTCACTGAAAATTATTTGTGTTCAGCAGGCCCTGAATAACATCATTTCATTTAATGTTGTTTTGTTATAATGATGAGAAAAAAATTGACTCCCAGCCTGGGTCACTGTCTGGAGTTTGCATGTTCTCCTTATGTCTGTGGGTTTTTTCTGAGTACTCCAGTTTCCTCCCACATCCCAAAGCTGTGCATGCTAGGTGAATTGGAATCTCGGAATTGTCCCAGTGTGAATGAGTGTGGGCGTCAGTGTGAATGTGCCTTATGATGGAATGGCATCCTGTTCAGGATTGGTTGCTACCTAGCACCCTGAGCTGGGACAGGCTATGGGCACTGGTGACACTAAACTGAAATAAGTAGGTTGGAAAATGTATGAATGAATGAATACAAATTATAGTGAAATTAAAATTTTTATATGATGGTTACATAAATGCATGACAATAAATGATGTAGTATGAAAGTGCTCAGTGAGCCCACCATATTAGTTATGGTTTTTGTTTGAACTGTGTGGTGGCAGGAGGTGCTCCTTACAATTTTGACTTTGCAAACATTTGGTTCTTGATTTAACCCACCACTACTACAACCTCTGTCATTCACTGATTAACCAAAAATTGGGTAATTATCTTACTTGTTTTTATTAATCTTTCTTAAATGTATGTATAGCTCACATTTATTTCAGTTTTAATGTTAGAAGTGTTTGGAGTCTTTCTTTAAAAGTTTGGTGATGTTTATGTGATCAGAAGTACACTGTAGGAACATAACTTTTATTTACATAAATTAGCCTATGGTAAAATTGGCTTCATTCTATCTCGTTTTGCTTAAAGGTGTAGTTTCTAAGAACCTATTGATAACGTTAAATAAGGACTTTTCGTATTTCTCTTTGCATTGTGTATTTCCTTGGTCCTACTCAAGAGATATGTTTTTTACTTCTTCAGGGTAAGTTGGGAAAAAAGATACTCAAAAGAAGGATTCCATGTTCTTGTTTCTTGGAATTCCTAGATAGTATCAGTTTTACAGGAAGAATTGCAGAAAGCAAAGTTCAGGACCTTATGGATTGAGACACAACTTAAAATGTAGTTTTCTCTTATTTAAATTAAGCCAAGGTACAAATCTTAAGAGTACCAATAGCTACTAGTCTTCACTGAACCCTGACATGGTCCCCTGATAAACATATTGTTAGTAAGTGAAATTTTCTGTAATATGTCTTATTCCTCTCTCAATGAGCAGAAAATTCCAAAAGGGAACATGGCATTTGTTCCCCCGCCATTATTATTAATTTTAGAGCGTTATCAGTCACATTGAGTTTTGAGCTATAGATGCGCTGTTTTTTAATATGAATAAGTTGCTTTGAAATGATGAATACACAAAATGTGAGTGGGAAGTGAGGAAGCCATGCAATAGTGATGCTTAAGGACTGGATCTTTTATTTTTAAAGTTGGGGCTTTTGAATACCTTCATTAAATTAAGACACTATTTATGTACCCACTAAAAACTGTGAAAGGAACAGGAGCTGGGTGGGCTGCTGTGCCCAGGACAGTGAGCAGACCTAGTTACAAGAGTTATGGAGTATGCAGATCACTCAATATAAGTGGTTATGACTTGATATTGTGGCTCAGACAAGCCCCCATTAAGGAAATGGAGAGGTTCAGCTTTAGACTTAGGGGGAAGGAGGGTTGAACAAAAACTTGGTGTTTTTTTTGTTCATTTACTATCCTTATTAGTTCCTATTTGGTATATATTGTTATTTTACTACAGACAAGAAAACTAAGTTTCAAAGAGTTTAAATATTTTCCAGAATCCCACAAAAATAAGTGATAGACCAGATTTTTAGCAAAGTCTCTGTTACCTTAAAGCCCAAGCTTATTCTCCCACTCTGCCATAGCTTAGTCTAGATGTAAAATTCTTATGAGCAACTCTCAGGAAAAACCTCTTTAACATTAATCAAATTAATTCAGTTAAATGAAACCAAGCCATAATTATATATAGTTTGACTGAAAATCTTTAGTTCTTGAGGCTTAATATTACAGGATAAATTTAGTGGATGGACTGTGAATTCCTAGGATTTGATGGGTTTTTTAGCAAAATTTTCCCTAAACCACAGATTGGTGGCAGTAATAGATTGGCTAAAGAAATGGTGAAAGGCAATTTATACAGGAATTTATTAATTTTAATTACATTGAGATGAAGTGAAGTGTCTGTCTTTAAAAAAATACTGCTATATTCTTATTGAAAATCAAGTATAAGCTCTGATAGACTTGAAGATGTAGTCAAAATACCTTATTAATTCAGCAGAATAGGAATGGTCACTGCATGAATCCTGTTCTCATACCCTGGCGTTATTTGGTAAACCCCTGAGATTTAGAAAAGTTATGGTCCCTGGTCTTGTAGAAAAAAGTCTTGAGCAGAGCTTGTTAAATTGTGGCTAGGCCTCAGGGTAGATATCTTTGAACTCTGAAATTTTATGTAAAATTTTGCATTTGTACACATTTTTCTTGAGAGAGGATCTATGACCTAAAAATAATTATCAGTTATTGGTGTAGATGGTGCTGCTCTGCTCATTCTTATAGGTAGATTAGAGGTGAACTCAGGAGTGGCCAAAAGCAGTGATTCTCAAAGTATGGACAGGTGCCATGAAAGATGGCCTGTGTTTATAAAATTGATCTCCAGAAAGATTTTCTGTCTTGTATTATGAGTAAATGATGTATAGTTCCCCACTTTCAGCTTTGCACAAAACTAAGAGCTTTTTACTAGTAAACTAAGTGGGTGAGTTAAGATTTGCTAAAATTTTATGTACATTAAAATTAGTAGATTATTAGATTATTTTAAGTTTATATCCTAGAATCATATTTCTCTTAAGTTTTCTTCTCATGTTGTGTTTGGATATATACAGTTACTATACATGTGTATAGTAGCAAACTAGTAAGTGTGCTGGGGTATCTTGTCCCACCTAAGTAGAATAGTCTAAAAAAGTTAGAGCTACTGGTGTAACATATTTATTCTACAGAGTGGGGTGGGATGAGTGTGAGAAGAAGAGCAGTTAGAGATAGGGTTGTTTATGCCCTTGCTTCCTAGAATAGAAGAAAGGCACATCAAACAAGCAGTTGTGTGTTTAAATTCAACTTAAATACATAGTATTACGTTGGTGCAAAAGTAATTGTGATTTTAGCATTGTTGAAAATTGCCATTTGTTATTGAAATACATTTTAAATAAGTGTGGTTATGTTATACATCATTTTAATGTGCGTTTCTCGCTTTATGTTTTTTTGCTAATGACTTATTACTTGCTGTTTATTTTATATTTATTTTAGACTATGGAAATGATGTTAGACAAAAAGCAAATTCAAGCAATTTTCTTATTCGAGTT